GAAGTCCTGTCTATCGAAGTATTTCGTTTTCAAATCTTGCATTCACGCCATGTGGAACAGTCATACTGGGTCATACAAGAATTAAGTATAAATCTAGAGGCCTGTAGATCGACCGATGTCCAGGCGGGTGCCGTACGGCCATCGGCAGAAAGCCTTGCGATACCCGTGCGATGTCTTTCAGATTCAATTGATTGTGGGCGCCGTACGATGCCTGTACTAATGTGACCACACTCACAATTAGATCAAGACATCGGTGAAAAGTCACCGGCGCCCGGTCGATTTAGAAATCGGCCGATGACTACTCATCGGCCGGCGCCCGGCGGCAATGTGACCTAGGCATTAAACAACACATTGCTTCCCTTTTTTCGAAATGGCCAAATGGTCATTAGAAAGTGTAATAATGCTTCCAAGGTTTCAGTACAAAATGTCAAAAATAGCCGCACTACTTTTCCAGTTATTGCAAAAACCTTAAAATAACATATGAATTAATGGCTGCATCCTTCTAGGTATTCATATATTGAATATTAACAAGATCAATCCACTACTTTTAGAGTTATCATTAGGAAAAAATGTAAAATAGAATAAAAATGACCCATTTTTCTACCCTGTACGCAGTATGCCAGTGACAGATTGGGTCATAAATCATTTCAAACCTACAAACACTGATCAATGTCAACCAATCAGTGAGCTAGAAGGAACATATGCTAAATGTGTGCTCATTAACAACGCAATGATAACAGAGGAAATTATCATATTTAGAAAGTCGTCTGTATTGATGTAGAAATAGATGCTGAAAATTGGATTAAATAATAAACCGAGAACTTACAAATAAATCAAAATGAGCTTAAATCAGAAAGTTATATCAAGATCAACCTACCAAGATATCAGAGAAGCACATTTTCTAAATTAAGATGTGAAGCACACATGTACTACCATTAAAATTAGAAACAGGAAGATTTACAAAACCTACACCCAATGAAGAAAGAACATGTGAAATGTACAATCAATATAAAATAGAGAATGAACAGCATTTTATATTACAGTGTCCAGCCTATAAGGACCTAAGAAGCAGAATGATAACACAAGATACTAACACCAACCCTAACTTTACAAGTAAAAGTAAAACTGATCAGTTTATAGTCCTGGGTACCTCTCCAGAGTTAGCTTTTATTGTCTCAAAACTGTATTTTTAATGTATAAGTACAGACAAGTGAAGATATGACAGTATTTAATGTAATTTTCAAATGAATTTATTTTCAAAATATTTATTATTATATTGATGCATCCGTACATAATGAGAGAATTGACTGTATTAGTTGTCTCCAGAATCAAGTTATGTTACAAAACCTGAGAGGCATTTTTGTGTAGAATCCATGAGTGTCTGCAAAGGAATGGACGACATTTATTTAGCAAATGTTGTAAGCTCATAACATTTGACCCACTTGAGCTACACATCCTAAATTTCTTAAGGTGCTTTCACATTATGTCTATTTTAAATGTGCCAAATAACAACAAGTCTATGTTAATAGACAAAAATGTTATGTAACGTAAGGTGGGTGTCATTTTATAAATAAACAAATACTGTAAAAATGTATTTCAATGACAAACTCTGAAAGAGTGAAGATGAAGCTCCCTTCTAAGAAGTTAAGTCAAACTGATGCAAAAGGTACCATTTTTCAAGATAGCCACCACATATTTTCAGAAAATTACTAAAAATATACTAATACATGTTTAACAATTTTATATGTTGAAACGTTACAATTTTTGTAAGTAGAAACTTAATCACTGTAATACACACTAAATAAGAACCTTGTAGATATGTTATAATTGTTTTAATAAAAACTAGAAATAAATAATAAAAATGTATATGCTTACAGCTCTCACACTCAATATGATTCCATTGATATCCATTTTACTTCTGAGTTATGCATTTATATGAAATCCATTAATCTTTGATGTAGATCACAACTATCGATCTTATCTGTTTACCTAATCTTTCAAATGAGGGTTATCATCCATAATATCAATAGACTATCCTGGACCCTGTTGCTTTAATAGCTTTAGTGCATAATAACTATCTCAAACTAACACCAAATGACAACATGTTGCTAGAAACCTCATTAAACAGATTATATAATATTACTTCACTGCTAGTTGCGATATTTTCTAGCGAATACACACTATGTTTTTTTGAGCAAGAATATGCCGAGAGTTTGATGTAATGTTTGTGTTGAAAGTGAGATGTCATGCGGTTTAATTAACTTCAACAGATTGAAGCTGCAATATATAATAGACTATTAGTCCTTGTACTTGATAAGTCCAATAGCAGATTATAGTCTTCCAGAAAATATAGCAGATTTACATTAATATCCAACATAATTCCAAATGGCTTTATGATAAATATTAACAGTTGACATTTTCTACATCTGTGTTATACTGATACAAGTTTTGTATACAGTACTATCCTATTTAATTCAGGTACTTAAAATACATTTGTATACATCATGGCAGATTCTCTAATTCTTTTTTTCAAACATCTCCATCATTTCCCCTTCAAGTTTTGAAATTATTCCTTGGTTTTGTCAACTTTTAAGAATTCAGTAAGAAATGTTTACTTCTATAGACTTCCCATATCATTGACCTGGTGACTTCTACAAATGTTTTCTTTTCATGTTAAAAAGGAATATATTAATCAAACAAGCTATAACCCTTAAATACAATTGACAAAATTGTTCTTTTCTTAAAAGAACTGAAATCAAATCAAATCAAAACAATTAATTAACAAACCACCTATTGCATATGACAAGAGCAACTTTGTTTACATTGAATGCAAGGAAATTAAGAAGTTGTAACTTTTTTTGGAAATTTTGTAATTTGCTCAACAATATTGGTATTTTTTGTTTGAGCAAATGGTCTAGTTAAACATTTGTTAATGTATCTATTGAGCTAGATTGAACAAAATAGAAACATGATACCAACTTCCTTGATTTGTTTTTACATAGTGAATATATGTGACATCTTTATTCAATAAAAAATATTCAAAAACCTGTCAAGCTCCAGGCTTCTGTGTTGTATATTGTTAATCTTGAAATACTTAATAGTTCAAGTATTGATATGGTTCCAAGAATATATGGTTCCAATATAATTTAGGGCAGTATTATTTGGTCAAGTTTTAGTTTTTACAGTATATACTGACCATTATCACTGGCGTATGGGGGGGGGGCCAAAAGAGGCCTTAAGGCCCCAAATATTTTGAAGAAAATGGGCCGCAAAATTACAAAATTTGGGCCCACTTTTATGTTTTAGCGGAGCTTTTTTTCTCTGACCTGAAATTTGGGCCCCCCCCTTGTTGGTTCCCAGATCCGCCCCTGATTATAAACCAGCCCCGAGTAGATCGTCCAGGAGTAAAACTGAATATCATTAAAACTCTTAATTCCAAAGCCATTGTATTAAAAGTATCAAAGTCAAATGATGAGGAATTAAAATCTCAGCAACATACAGGGTGTATCAAAATAAATTGTGCCCAAGGGCAAACATAAAATAGGTCTGAGACGAAGGAATATTCTTGAAAGGAAATGTTGTATTAAGGGGCAAATACTCCCATGGTCAAAATGAAATTTATTAGGTGTAAAACTAAAAATCAGCAACTCCACGGAGAAGCATTTCCCAACAAACACTATATTAATCATGAATCTGTACAGTCACAATGTAATATTTACCATCTACTCTTCCCTTCAATAAACACTTGAGATAATTGTAGCATCATGTAACCATATTTAAAGATATCTCTAAGTAATGGCGAAATATGTGTGATTTCATACATATACATGGTTCGTTCAAGTTTGCACACTCCGTATGAGTAAAATCACTCTTGTATGTGTATATTTGGGCATTGTTTAATAATTACATCGAATAGAGTAGACAAGTCGAACAATTCTTTATACAACTCAGACAAATGTTTTTGCTCTCACAAACCATGATGTAAAAATCATACATCATGATGTAACATAAATTGGTTTCTAGAGATATTTAAGATTTTTTTCAATCCTGTCCTAAAATCTTGTCTGTCAAGGCTTGTCTACAGGTTTCCAGCCAAACCGTTAGAGGGATTCATTTGAAATTCTCAGGGATGTTTCTAATAATAAGAATAAGCCGAGTCATCCAGAAAAAGATGGATGGGAACGATAGGATATAATAGGAAAGAAGGATAGAATAGGAAGGAAGGGTAGATAGGAAGGATAGGATCAGACAGGATAGGATCAGACAGGATAGGAAGGAAGGACGGATGCATTTTTCAATATTTTCTTCGCTACTCTTGACTTTCTATCAGGATATCATCAGATCGATTTTTCTCGAAATTTCAAAACGCCATAACTTTCGAACCGGAAGTCAGATTCAGATTTAGTTTGCAGATTCGGATTCCTGACAAAATTCTACCCCTAATTCATAACTCATATGTTAAATTTGGAGAACTTTTTATTTTGACCTACTTTCTGGACGCCATATTTCAAAATCGGTAAGAGTAATCAAAAAACGGATGGCACACTTATGAAAGGGCTGTTTCTAAGCTACTTTGACCTACTTTCTGGACGCCATATTTCAAAATCGGTAAGAGTAATCAAAAAACGGATGGCACACTTATGAAAGGGCTGTTTCTAAGCTACATGATGAAAAAAAGATGAAGACGTTTCTATAAATAACGAGGAAGATAATAGACAAATGTAAGATTTGACCTAGATAAAAAATTGACCCAATTTCCGAGAAACTAGATACTGGACCTAAATTGACCATATACAGGTCTTGACTCAATGTCTTCTAGTTATTGAGAAAACGTGTTAAGAAAAAGAATAATAAAGAAGAAGAATGACAAAAGTAATAGACTCCAGATTTACATCTGGAGTCTAATAAAGAAGAAGAATACTGGCAAAGACAATAGACTCCAGATTGACACATCTGGAGTCTAATAAGTCAATTTATGGATTAAAATAAATGATTTTTACCTGTTTCAGCATAATTATTTGTTTTTGCATTTCTTCGTTCAACTTTCTCTCAGCATTTAAACTTGACATCGATTTTGCTAGGGCCCTCTTTTGATCTTCATCTTTATTACTCAACTCAGCTCGGAATTGTTTTATTTTTTCTTCTTCGAGCATCTGGCGTTCTTTCGCAACTGCTGTTTGTAACTAGAAAATAACAAGGCATTACCATGACAAAATGTCACCACCGTCTAGTTTCACACAATATTAGAGTGATCAAAGTTAAATGCAAGCACAAGTCTCATAATATGGTTCTATGTGCCAGATTTTGCTAAAAGGTTAAACATATTATACAAGAACACAAATGTGTACAAAATGTCCCCACCAATGGGTGATCCCGTCAAATGGTTATTCTGGAAATGAGTAGACAAGACTTTACCAACACAATTTGAGGACGGAAAATCCAAAATGGCCACCTTGAAATTTACCCAGAATGCCAAAAATGTAGTCAGTTCTAGATTTTCATACTAAGAAGCACCCCTGAAAATTGAAATTGATCCGTCACACAGTTAACCAGAAAACATGTGAACAAGACTTTACAGACAAGGTTTTAGGATGGAAAATCCAAAATGGCTGCCTTGACATTTACCAAATGTCAAAAAACTAATCTGTTTCTAGATTTCCATACTAAGAATCATCCCTGAAAATATGAAATTGATCTACCGAACGGTTCACCAAAAAACGCGTAGACAAGACTTTACAGGCAAGATTTCAAGACGGAAAATCCAAAATGGCTGTCTTGACATTTATCCAGAATGCCAAAAAACTAATCAGATCTAAATTTTTATACTAAGAATCATCCCTGAAAATTTGAAATTGATCCACCAAACAGTTCACCTGAAAACGCGCAGACAAGACTTCACAGACAAGATTTTAGGACGGAAAAATCCAAAATGGCCGACAATAAAAAAGTGATAATAAGTTTTTGCTGATTTCTTTTTACAAAATTATCACATATAACTACTGTTAACAATAACAAAGGCTTTTACAACAAAATACATCTAAAAATAATTTATAAAGCTACTAAGTTAAGGTATGAAAACTCAAAAACACCATTCAATATGATACAAAGTATTATCGCACGCTAACTTTTCTTAAGACATTCAAAATGGCTGCCATGACTGAGCTAACAGGTTCAAAACCTAATCAGATCTAGAATGAAGTGAGCTGAACAAGATGTTCAAGTTTTAAAAGCAACTGTGAAGCCGTTTTTCTTAAAGTTTGCAGACAAGGATTTTAGCATTTGACTTCAAAATGGCCGACAGGAAGTAGGTTTTGAGTTAAAATTTTTTCATCCACATCTGTATGCATCTGTATCCCTGAACATCTGAAGGTGATTTCTGTAGTGGTTTTGGAGAAAACTCCCGGACGTACGGATGGACAGACGGACGGACAGACAGACAGACACGCCTAGGCCGACAATATGGCCCAACAGTATTTGGTAATAAAACATGCCAAATTGATGATCACTGTAGGAGTCATGTTTCATGTCAATATAGATGATTTTGAAAAGAAAACCTGGTCAATTTTGAGTAAGTTGAAAAAATACCTTTTTTACCTTGAGAAGGTCATTGATTGTCAAATCTCAAATCTAAAGTCAGATTTGAATGTCTGAGAATGTGTAGATGATTTTGAAAATATTGGTCAATTTGAAGCAAGTTGAAAAAATACACTTTTCACCTTTTTTAACCTAAAGACCTTCTTGACCTTGAGAAGGTCATTGAAGGTCTAATCTCAAATCTATAGTCAGATTTGAGCTTCTGAGAACTTGTAGATGATTTTGAAAAATTAATAATCAATTTGAAGCAAGTTGAAAAAAGACCTTTTTGACACTTTTAAACATTTGTAAAGGTCATTGAAGGTCAAATCTGAAGTCAAATTTGAACTTCTGAAAGCATATAGATAATTTTGAAAAAACATTGAAGTCTCTAAACAGTACTTAAGTTATTGTAAGCAAGTTGAAAAAAGACCTTTTAAGCCTTTTTTGACATTGAAAACGTCATTGAAGGTTAAATCTTAAGTCAGATTTGAACTTCTGAAAACTTGTTGATGACTTTGAAAAAAATTGAAGTCTACACAGTATTTGTTAAATTATTGGAAGTTGTAAGAATCTGTTACAGACTCCAACTGCCAATCATCAGCCTTTTTTACCTTGAAAAGGTCATTGAAGGTTAAATCTTAAATCTAGTCAGACTGAACTTCTGAAAACTTGTAGATGATTTTGAAAAAAATTGAAGTCAGTCGTTAAGTTGTTGTAAGTTGTAAGAATTTGTTACAGACGCCACCTGCTGATCACCAACCTTTTTTTACCTTGAAAAGGTCATTGAAGGTCAAATCTTTAACCTGAAGTCAGATTTGAATTTCTGAAAACTTGTAAAAAAATTGAAGTCTAAACAGTATTTGTTAGTTATTGAGACCATAACTATATGTCACCACTTTTCGGTGGTCAGAATGCAATCAGTTCTATATTTACATACTTGGAATCATTCCTAAAAATTTGAAATTGATCCCTCAAATGGTTAACCTGAAAATACATATAGACAAGATTTTACAGACACAATTTTAGGACAGAAAACCCAAAATGGCCACCTTAAAATTTACGCAGAATTCGGAAAAAGTAATCAGTTCTAGATTTTCATACTAAGAACCAGCAATGAAATTTTGAAATTGATCCATCAAACAGTTAACCTGAAAACAAGTAGACAAGACTTTACAGACAAGATTTTAGGACAGAAAATCCAAAATGGCTGCTTTGACATTTACCCAGAATTCACTAAGAATCATGCCTGAAAATTTGAAATTGATCTACCGAGTAGTCCACCTGAAAACGCGTAGACAAGACTTTCCCTCTCTTTGCATACAACTACTATTAACAGTAACATTAAGGCTTTTACAACACAGGACACCTGCAATTATTTATAAGGCTACTAAATAGTTAAACTATGAAAACTCAAAAACACCATTCTAATATGATACAAAGTATGCTCGCTAACTTTTCTTCAGACATTCAAAATGGTTGCCATGAGTGAGCTAACAGGTCCAAAACCTAATCTGATGTAGAATGAAGTTAGTTGAACAAGTAACTGTGAAGCAGTTTTTCTTAAAGTTTGCATACAAGGATTTTAGTATTTGACTTTAAAATGGCTATAAATTATCCCTGAAAATTTGAAGGTGATATCTGTAGTGGTTTTGGGGAAAACTGCTGGACGTATGGACAGACGGATGGACAGACAGAGGAGCCTAGGCTGACAATATGGCCCAACACTATGTGGTGGGGACATAAAAAGTATGATGGCAATTAGATGGAAATAAGACTTATTTTTGTCATGGTGTCCTGATAATTATAATATCTTACCTTTACTTCTGCATCCTCTTTAAGGCGTTGTTCTGTTTCCCGCGCATCCTCCCTCTCTTGGCGTATCTGCTCATACAACATTTGGAGTTCCTCCTCTTTTGCCTAAAACATTTATTACATTAGTCTAGTCCAGACTGCAATTTTTGACAATTTTCCACATTCCAGGGGGAATTTTTCTTTTATTCAAATTATGCCATCACACAATTCCCATTAAATATTAGAGGTGTCACGGTTTCCAAATATTGGACCGAATTTTGGTCCAGATGCTTCAGTTCAGGACATGGGACAGAAAGGGTTAATATGGGTTTGGTATCGGTACATAAATTCCTTCCCTAAAATGCATAAAAACGTGTATAAATAGCGAGGAACACCTCCGATTTCGTTCTGAAAAATTAAATATTTTCATTTACCTCGTACCTAGATTATACACTTCTTTGCATTGAAAAGTGTTATTAACGGACCCCCGATATCAGGTAGATTGTAATGCTTGTTCAAAAATTTCTTCATCGTCGTTCGCAAATCGAATGCATTATCAGAATGCTGGATGTAGAGAAGAAATTAAAAAATTGAGACGGCATCTAAGTCAAAAAAGTCGACAGTTTGGAAGTATTTTGGGACTCCAATAACACAAGATAAACGAATTGGTGATAGTGCACAGTGCAGACTATGTGAAATGCCGATCACATTTGCGGCAGATGCGTTATATTAGATTTTAATTGAGTTTTTTTTTATTTCTGAATATGATGATTTTGAAAAGTGAAACTGCCATCATCAGACATTGCATCATTTTTTTAATGTTCTGTCCCATCCCGAAAGTACCGTGTCCCGAGACCATTTGTACCGTTCCTAACCATACCGAAATTCTTTTGGACCATGACACCTCTATTAAATATATAGTCCAGGTTGTTAAATTGGGTGCCCTAAATCATGCAGGCATCAAGTTGGGCAAAACTTGAAGACAAGCAATTTCACACCAATTGTTTTTTTATACACACCTCAATTAGTCTCTTGTGTGTCTGTGCCTCAGCAGCCAGTTCATCAGCGTGCCCTTGAATCCTGTTCTCTCGCTCCCTGTCGTATTTCTGTCGTAGTTCTTCCAAATGTCTCTCCTGCTCTACAGCGGCTTGCTGTTGTAACCTTCTTACTTCCTCCTCCTGAAGTAAATATTTAAATCGGTTTTGCATGGTGTTCTTGCATCATTTTCTCTCATATTACTTCACAAACAACTATTCCAAATGTTTTCTTTACTCTAACTCAACTTGCTATTGCAGACTCCTCACTTCAAAGAAAGATGAAAATGGTTATATTTTGAATTGAGATTTGCTTATAACAGACAATAACTTTCAGATTAATTAAACCTACAGTAGTAAATTCCCATGAACATAATCGCATAGCCTATAGGAAGCCTATAGATCTATAGGAAGCTATGTGCATACCCTTTCTTTCCTAAGCATTTCCAGTTTGAGTCTGCTATCATCTATTATACTTTCTTTTACCTCCTGGTGCTGACTAATTTCATGCTCTAGTTCTATCACTTGTTCTCTAAAAGAAATGAAGTTGAGGATAAAACAGCAATTTCTATTTATTTATCAAATGAATAGGGAATGAAGATATACACATACTGTAATTTGATTTAAGTGTTATTGGAAAAATAAAGTAGAGAGTGTATATAACTATGAGATATTCACTCACCTAACACTCACTCCTGCATTGGAATTTGAATGAGACAGAGCAAAATAGTAACTTAGTTCACCACACATCAACAGAACTCTTGCCATTCTTACCTTAACTCAAGGTTTGTTAAGTCTTTTTTATTCACTTCAGCCTGCAGTGCGTTTATCTTATCACTCAATGCTTTTACTTCATTCTTCAGTTCATTGTCTTCTATGGTATATTTCTTCTTTAAGTCAATTATCTCATCTTGGAAATGAGACTTCATTGCGTCAAACTGTAAATCTTTCTCCTGAAGGAATGCAGTTAATGTTGAATGTAATTAGATGAGAGATTATATATTTGTCTAGACAAATTGAACTTGTGGTCTGCCATTTTTCCCATGGTAAAATGTAATTACTCAAATGAGTACAAAATTCCATGTTCATAATTAGCAACATTTCAAATTTTAAAAAGGCACAAATAATATAGTTAATTTTTTTAGGTAGGTTTGTGTTTTTCAACACAATACTTTGGAAATCATGGCCTTAATACCTTCAGTGCCTCATCCCGTATCCTATCCTGCTCAATGTACTTCCGTTCTATTAGCTCAAGGTGGGACAAAGCCTGGAGTTTATCCCTCTGTAAGTCTTCTAGTCTGTGGACACTGTTCTCCAACTCCTAATGTAAGAATAAACACAATGTCCATAAATCAATTCTTTACATCAGGAGGAGGTCAAGCCATACTACAAATCTTCCTGTTTTGCTACTACAATGTAGTAATATGTCTGAACCTATTCCTTATTGGTTTAGGTTACCATGTAAACCCCCATATTTGTTTGAACGACTATTTTCTAAGCGGGGAACAAAAGAAATCCCAATAAAGTAAATAAATCTGTATCTTGATTCTATTCCCTATAAAGTCCGCAACGTTTCAATGTTATATCTCCATTACATTGGGTCAAAATTTGATGTCAAAATTGATGAATTTCATGAAAGGACGATTCTCGGTTTGGAGAACGAAGTTCATCAATCTAAATGAGCATTGTCCTTGCTTCGGACAAATTTGATTTTTTTACATCATATAGATTTGAATGTCTTCTTTTGAATAGTCATAATTTAGTTTGGGTAATATTTCTATATTTTTCATGAAAAAATTATTAGCCCAGAAGACTGTTCTCAAAACCGAGAATCATCCTTTAACAAAAATGGCAGATCCCATGTTAAACAAATGAAATGATATGTAAGGTGTGTGCGTATTAGGTTCACCGCATATATAATAGGATTTTATTAGTACTGATGCCCTTTTAGGGCCAAACGTACATACAATTTTCAAAAACAGTAAATATAGCAATAAAGTAAAGAAAATAGGATTACAATCTTCAAATGACATATAAAATGTTACTTTGATATAAGAATCCTGTCTCTACCAATCATTAGATACTTTATCATGTTAGCAGATTATTTTAATATGATCCCCTCACTCGTCAATAGAAAAATTGTCTTTTGGTGGTCATTCATGTTTTTAAAATTACTACACAGGTTTTCAAGTTTTTCAATATGGGATTTTCTGATAAACTCCAATTTTTTACATTTGAATAAAAAGTGTGTTTTATCTTCTATAACCGAGTCCTTACATATTTTACAAAATCGACTATTAAGATCAGTAATTGGTTTTGTATATCTCTCTATCTCTAGATTGTGGGCGCTTATACGTAATCTAGTTAAATGTTTAGCGTTTGAAAGTGTCGTTTCTGAAAGGTAGTGTTCAAATCCAAAGTGCGATTTTTTTAGATTCTTCCAATATACTTGATATCTCTCTATTAATTTCTTTTTGACTTTAATAGCAAGTGTATTTATGCTCTTCTCTATGTTTACCTTATCTTCAAGATTCATTTCATCAGACATTTTTATTTTGATATGGCACAGTATATTTTTGAGTTGTTTGTGCCATGTAAATGTGTTATTTGTTAAATCAAATGTTTTACTCACAATTAATGAATCGTTTAGTAAACTCCCATTTGAACTCAACTCTAAATGACCGAGGTATTTGACTTGTCTTTTTATAATATCAACAACCAAAGGTATTCTTCCCAATTCTCCTCTTACTGCCATGTTTGTGGCTTTTCTATGAACTCCGAGAACATCTTTTTGGAACCGAATATGATTGTTTTCTGAAACTCCAATTTTTTACATTTGAATAAAAAATAAAAAGTTTTATCTTCTATTAAAGCACTTTCATATTTATGTTCAATATCTCGATTAGTTAGGCAGTCACGCTTGGTATATATATCATTACACCATATTTCCGAACCGTATAAAGCGACGGGTTTGATAAGTTGATCATACAATTTCATTTTCAGTGAAGACTTCATCTCTGTGCCGCTTGTCAATTGATAAACTTTAAACATGGCTTTATTTGCTTTTTCCTTTATGTTTTGCTGGGCCGGTTTAAAGGATCCCGAAGCACTTAAGATAATTCACAAATATGTATACCTTTGAACATTTTGTATATTCTTACCATTTATTTGAAATCATTCTTGACAAACTTTACCACATTTCCAGAATTTCATAATTTTTGTTTTGTCAATGTTAATTTCAAGTTTCCAGTCATCACAGAAGGATGTGTTTATTAGTTAATATGTACAATATTACCAACCAGAATGTCTAAAGTTTACAATCAAGTGACTCAAGCACCGGACAAGAACCGTTCACGTCAATTGTTTATACGGAGTTGCCATGCTTACAGTGATACATCTGCCTGCAGCAGTGGTATGATGAAGACTAGCACTGCCAGGGAGTATGATTATGAACAGCAAGTTCATTAGCATTCCAACACAGCAAGAGAGATGAAAATATTATCCACTCCCCTAGTTTTCCATGAGTTAAAATGCTGAATTCTGCAAGTGAAATTAGTGCAAGGGGAAAAGGCCAATTCTGTGGGAATTCCATGGGATCTCTCAGCGTTTTTTATTGAAAATTAGATAGGGATAATGACCCACTAAAGCCATCAAACACGTGAGAAATGAAAGTACCAGATCTTTGAGCATTATAACCTACATGTACACTTAAAGGAATATTCCTTGCCAAACCATCTCTCTCCTCATATGGTAGCTATAACCATATATATGCTTGCCATGTTTAGCAAAACACGCAAAAATGTTTTGATATGGTCAAATTTGATCACTTAGAAATATGATGCTCAATTCCAGTAAGCTGCCATCTTTTAAAATTTCACAAAGGAAGTGATGTCATCGACTCTCAACTTTGCATATAGCATTAGGTGAGGAGCTATTAAGAATTACAAAACCAGCTAAATATTCTTTTTCAACTTTGTATCTTATTTAATCCTTCTGAAAATCTCTTCTTTTATTCTAAGTTGACAAGCCCTGAACATATTTTTGCACAGAAAGTAATGATCACTTGTCTAGAAGTGATTTTGTGCTACTTTCCTATCCTGTTATAGGCAAGGTTATAGAAGTTGAGAGTTGATGACATCACTTCCTGCAAGAAATCTTAAAAGATGGCAGATCACTGGAAATAAGCACTGGATTTTTAAATGATCAATATTGACCATATTAAAACATTTTCCCATGTTTTGCTAAATATGGAAACTATATATGTGATTATAGCTACCATATCAAGAGAGAAAGGGTCTGGCAAGGAATATTCCTTTAATAAACGAGCAGATGGCACTCGATAACAAGGAAAGGATAGTATGTAACCCAGTGTACATGCGTAATAGGCAGGTTTTGGTTTTAGACAATTCTGATCCATGCTTATGAATAAAATTTTAATAAAAACTGAAATCGGCAAGACAAAAAGGTGTCATATTCTTTCAGAAAGTTATTAATTACGAGGAACCCTTCTAATAAGAGCAATAATTCCTGGTTTGAAAACTCCCTAAAATAGCCCTAAGGATTTAAAAAATGAACCTAACATTTTTATGCAAAGGCGGATTTGGATGGTGGCAATCCTGGGTAATGAGGGTGCAGCCTGTGATTCTGCGTGTATTGCTGAGAAAATACAATGTCAAAACAACTTCTTTCAGACTGAAATGGGTGACTTTTCCATTGATATTGGATATTTTTGCATGCTGTTTTTTTTAATTTCATTATTCTCCCATAATATGTAACCATATCGCTTTCATATCTATAGCACTTGATAATGATACCATATAGTTCCTCAACTAGAAAACAGCAACTCCACAGAGTAGCAAATCCCACAAAACAAAACATGTAGCTCATTTGTCCCTAGGCATCAGCATATGAACCAAATCCGTTAACTAGTATTTGAATTATCAAAGATTACATTTTTTATAAAAAATGGTGGCCATTTTGAATTGAGAGGCCATATTGAAAATTCCTTCTCAAGCAGAGGTCATACACATAAGGCATAAGCTTATAAAATTTTAATCAAATCCATCAACTGGTATTTGAGTTATCGCCCACACAAACGAACAGATTGACAAATGCACGGACGGACAGCTTTTCTATATCCCCCTTGGAATAACTTCAAATGGCTGCCATTTTGATGAATTTCAAATTCTGTAGCCATCTTGAAAATGACTTCATGAGCAGAGCATCAGCATATAAAACTCGAACCCGACCCGTCAACTGGTATTTGAGTTATCAAAGATTAAATTTTTTACACAAAATTAATAAATTCAGTGGCCATCTTGAAAATCTCCCTTGTCCCAAGGCAACAGCATATAAAGTTTGAACCAAATTGATCGACTAGTATTTGAGTTATCAGAGATTACACTTTTTACAAAAAATGGCTGCCATTTTGAATTGAGCGGCCATACTGAAAATTCAGAATTTGAGTTATCACCCAGATACACAAACAGATGGATGGAAGAAGGGATGAACGGCTTCTCTATATCCGCTCGAACTTAATTTGATGGGATAATACAAATTTTCAACTGCTAAGAAAAGCAGCTCACTTTTTTTGGACACCAAATTTTTATTACCTCTTCTAATGCTTCCTGTCTTTCTCTACTGCGTTTCTGTTCTGAAAATAGATCTTCCTTTGTGGTTGCTAACTGGTGTTCAAGTTCACGTCTCTCAGCCACTGTGCTCTGTAATTGTCTGACCTTTGTCTCTAGTTGATCACGTTCACTTTCAATTTGTTCTTTCTCTGCGTTAAGTCTCTGCACCTGTAACATTAATAATGAATGAATGAATGATGTTTTATCTATGTATCCTGTGGAATAAAAAGCTGAATTGTTGTCATTCATACTATTTATTAGTGGTGCAGTGAATACTGTAGTTGCATTATTGATGCAGCAGGGGACTCCTCGAATATGGACTCCATTGTCCATAATCTCAAATTGCTAAGTCTGTTTTGAAAGGTTTTAGCCACCATACATGTAAATGTTCACAGAAGAAAACATAAAATATTATGAAAGTTTGATGTTGAATTAGGAGAAAATAAGGTGTTAATTTAGGAATATAGAAACAATAATATCTGACATAATCTTTTTTTTGTTACTCAAAGCATTGATAAAATGTTTTGAAAGTAGATATCAATTGGAGCATTTTTTGTATTGTCAACTTCTGGCTCAACTTTTCATTATCGTTTAGACTCCAGCTTCTCTATGACATGCACAACTACTACATGTATTTACTATAGTGTAAAATGGTCTGTTCACTCTCAGATTGTTCCATCTCCCAACTCAATCTGACAGAAGCTATAAGTAGAGAGGATTAACAGGAAAATAATTCATACACATTTCCCCTTCTCAATATCGTTGTGTTACAAAATCAACAGGAGTCTATGAGATTGAAAGTGGAGTAACTGAGTATTTTTCTTCTTATTGTCAGGGTACAGTATTTTTTACCAATTTCTTGCATACACTGAAAAGATGAATTGAAGTTTTACCCTTTAATAAAGTAATTTACATCAGGAGGCGCCATAAAAGTGCACCCTGCTAAAAGTTATAAAGTTTTACCTGTTCTTTTGTGATACCAAATGCATCAAACTGTTCGATAGTCTCTCTTTTTTCACGAGCTTGGTTATCTACATCACGCAGCATCTTTCTTTTGTTACAAAGCTCATCTGTGACCTAAACATGATGTAAATGCAGGATATAGTTTTAGATATGTCTCAAATGCATGATTTATCTGAAACAGGACACAGAGTCAACAATCTGAAGTGAAATCAAAAAAGTTAAATACCAGATAATAAGAACATGTATGTAGAAAAAAGGTGTGGTACAGACCTTTTTTGGTAAAGTTTCAGGATTTTTTAGCTGTTTGTAATGGGAAAATTTTGATTTATTACCTATCAAGTATAAGTACAAAGCATGGTCTTGTAAAATGTCCTATGAATAAAAAAGGACGAATACCAGGATGTACTGTATACTGGCACATCTGCTCATGCATCCTTTGAATAATTCACCCTCTCAACCAATCAATATTTACAGATTGTACTTTTCGAGGAATAGTTTAATTTAGCTTGAGGAAGATGATTTCAATAAACTGAATTTTACCATACTCCCCTTATTTCTTATATATAGACTGATCCAGTAGATTCCTCTGGAGCCGCCTTAATGTATTATTTATATGGTAAGGTATACACAACCGTTTAGAGAAAAATAGGAAAGCCTATCATTCAAGACTGATGTACTGTACCTGCTCCAACTCCTTTAAGACATTGTCACGTTTGAACTCAACCAGCATCAATTGGGTCCTAGTGTCTTCTGCTTTGGCTCGATTTTCCTTTGTTTGCATCTCGGCTAGTCTGACATCTGATTCTGTCTTCTTAACAGATTCTTGAAGTGTCTTCAGTTCTCTTTCTGTTGACTGGAAAGGAGCAATTATACTTCATTTTTATGCTAGACCAGAGGCTCAGATAATTTTCCACTGAATTTTCAGCATATACAAATAAATAGGATCATGGGCACTGGGCTAGCATGGTGAAAGAGCTTAAAAGCTGATTTTTCAGCAGCCATATTTATCATTTTAAATTCAGTAACCAGTCCATCCCCTGGTGCATATAAGTCTAAACCAAACCCATCAAATGGGCCACGAGAAAAAATTACCATGGAAATGAGATAAAATTATTTACCAATCAAAGAGCAAATAATACCCTACTAATACATCACTCCTGAAGTCTCAAATACCACTAATACACAACTAATACCCCACTAATAAAACATCACTCCCGACGGCTCAATTATCACCTGGACATATTGTTTTCGGTGGGATATATATGGTTAATGAGTATTTTGAATAGAATAGATCCAATGAGATCCTAGATAACCCAAACAAATTGGTGCATGTTAAATCCAGCACACAGCTGCACAATCAGATGATTTCTTTGTTTTTTGTATAGAAAAAAGATCCACTGATACCACACATGTACAGTAGGGATCAAACAGCACTCTCCTGCAAGAACCACTGTTATCTGTACATTTCACCACAGGATCTGGTAAAAAATCAACAGATTTTATCAAAACAAAGGCTGTATTTTTAATTGCATTGACCTAGCTTATTCTTGATAGTATATTCAGCCAGCGGAATATGTTTGACATCGTCTGTGTCTTATCGTATACTTACGTATGTCTAGATTGTTTGTTTGTGTATAATCTAGAAATGTTACAAATAAACTGTGGTGATTCTCGTCAAAGTTGTGTTTATCTTCAAATTGGTCAAGGATATTATCTTTAACATTTATAGCACCTTTTTAATCATATTCAGTATATGGGGGAAGTAATACAAACCAGATTTTGACCAAAACAGCTAGCCACAAGAAATATTCTTATAATTATTCTCAACTACATGTATGCGCCTGTCTGTTATTTGTACCCGAGAGTGCGATTTTTTGCCAGATCCTGTGGTGAAATGATAAAAGCGGTCCTTGCAGGAGTGTCCCTACCAGTGTGATTGAAAATCAAACTGGTAATTGAGTATGACATTTACCAACAAGAATGCCCAAAAGTGAGTTCAAGTTTTGCATACTAAGAATCATTGCTGAAATTGATCTGTCACAAGGTTGGCCTTAAAATGCGTAAACAACACTTTAGAACTCTCACTGTAGCTCAGTGGCAGAGTCAAGGTAACCACTCTCGCTTGGCCCCAAGTTCGATTCCCGGTTCAGACAAGTTTGTTTGTGCGTTATGTAATTCTGGTTGTTTGACTGAGTGGTCCACAACTCGTATAAAAGGCTGTGGTATGTACCTGTATGTCTGTATACCTGTGCACACAAGAGAACACAGGGTTCCTCCAAGGAGGGGTTTCTGGCTCTGTCTTCGAGTGAAAAATATGGAATATACCAATGAGGTAATGCTCGCCAAATATGGCGGTAACCAAGATACAATACAATTAGAGACTTTTTAGGTTAGAAAAATCCAAAATGGCTGTCCTAACATTAACCAAGAATGCCCAAGACAAATCTGTTCGAGATTTACATATACAGAATCATCCTTGAAATTTTGAAATCAATCCAAGACTTTACAGACATGATTGTAGGACAGACAATCCAAAATGGCCACATTAACATTTACCCAGAATGACCAAAAACTGATCAGTTTGAGATTTTCATACAAAGAATCATCCCTGAAATTTTTTTATCGATCTGTCAAATGGTTCACCTGGAAACATGTAGACAAGACTTTACAGACAAGATTTGAAATGGATCTATGAAATGATTAGCCTGAAAACGCAAATAAAAGACCCCTGAAATTATTTATGAAGCAATTAATAGTTTAATTATGGAAACTCAAAAATACTTTATTAATATGATACAAAGTCTTATCGCTCGATAAATTTTCTCAACACATTCAATATGGCTGCCATAACTGATCTAACATGTCAAAATCTAATCAGATATAGAATGAAGTTAAGGTTTTGAAAGTAACTGTAAATCCTTTTTGTTAAGGTTTGCAGACAAGGATTTTAGCATTTGACTTCACAATGATCGACAAGAAGTTAAGGTATCAAGTCGTTGGATGGATAGATATATGTAACAAAACAGTTTTTTGTTATCAATCATAATCATAGATCATCTAATAATTTTAGAGATAGGTGGTTTACATCCACATCCAGTAATACATGTATAATAATAATAATATGTCTTACCAATTTCTCTTCTCTGTTAACTTGGACTTGTTGTTCAAGATCCCTGAGTTCATTGGTTGTTATTGCAGCAATGGATAATGACCTAGCCTTCATCTTACTGGTGAGAGATTGACCTGAGTGGGATGAGCCTGTTTTACTATTATTGAGTCTTGGGGGTGATAATGTGACTCGCAATCTTTCTTCAGATAATGTGCTCCGAGATCTCTCCTCTGGTAATGTTGGATGTGATCTTTCCTCAGACTACAAAACATTTGATTTATATACATGTATGCATAATAATATGAGATTTTGCCTTTCCCACAAGAGATGAGAGTTAGGTAGTGAGTAAATGGAAAATACATAAATTCAAATTGAGTGTTAACCAGCCTCATGCCACGGTTTAACCCTGGTTTTGAAAAACTCAATACCTCCCTTAAGAATTTGACATAACGAGAAGTATAAGTCAATAGGCTGAAATCTGTACATGTATATAATGTATATGAGGTCTCTCTACCTTAGTGGACTTTATCATAGAAACATCTGGACTGCTGACACTTCTAGCACCTAGGTTAGATGAAATAATTTTTGGAGTAGATGCCAGTTTCTTTTTACGTTCCATTTCCATTTCACGTTGTATTTTTTCCGTCTCTCGCTGAATTTCTGCTGTATCAGAGAAATATTCTGATTCTGATTCCACTCCACCATCTGTAGTGTCACCATTGGCATACCTTATTAAAAATCTATATTTCAATTTCGTTTTCCAGATAAAATTTTCAGCAAATACAGTATAGTAACATCTAACTGACTAAAATTGTTCTTGCAGAGAGATATTTTTACAGTAAGGCTTTTTTAACATCAAGTTTCATTAGGTTACAAATTATATTTGCTATTTTAATCAACTTTAAAAAATATTTTAACTTATAAACTATCCTTTTAGGGTTGTTCATGATGTTTTGCACAAAAACTTCTCAAGAGAAGAGATTTCATCATTAAAATTACAGGACCATAAGCAATGTCCTTCTTGAGATCTATTAACTGACTCATTTGAGCCATTAAATGATTTGCTCCATATGATGTCATTGCGGTAGAATTAATTTTGTAAATATCTTGAAAGGCTGGCAGTGTTCAGTATTGCATCTTTCAACTAATTCAGTTATATTTTATTATCATGGTTACCATAGCTACAATAAGATATAAAGTAGATATAATATATTAACAAAACATTGATAGTTTTAAGGAATAAGGATTAGGAACCAAGATACCAAACATGGACAAGCTGATTTATTTATTATTCTCATCGTTAGGGATATTTGTGCAAAACCTTTAAACAACCCTAATTCTTCATCATTCATACATTTTTACACTATCACTAAAATAATGAAATCAACCAGAAACTTTTTGCAGAGGGTTTTGCAATTCGATCTGGATAAGCATTTACTACGATACTGTTCAAAGTTTTTCCTAAAAAGAACAACTTGAATTTCTGAAATTCATGATGCCATTGATGGTAATAAATTTTGCAGATTCTAAAAATAAATGTTCATTGCTTTGTGTGAATGTGTTACTTTATCTTTACAATGCCTCAGTGATTAAATTGACTGCATGCTCAATAATTAAACAAAAGAAAACACAAAGGTCTATCTCTCCAGCATCATTCTCATTCAACTGGCTTTAGTCTGAAATGGAATATGTTTGCCAAGCTATATATAATAACAATAATAAAAACTTTGTGCTTTAGTATTAATATTAATTTTTTTTCATTCCTGTATTTTAGAATCACAAATAATATATTTTGTGCATTGGTTACATACAGTGCTGCTGGCATGGCTGAAAGCAAAAAAGTATAAAGCTTTAATTATAATATCATCTTTTAATAACTGTTAGAACACATAATAAAGCTGGTCTTACCTCCACCACAAGATGTTGTTGGCAATTGAGTTTTTGAACATGGTCCCTCACAGTGTTGAAGAATTACCATTTATTGATTTATTTACCTATATTGAAGTATGGAAGTTCACCACATAAATTCATTAGACCATCATTCTTTTTTTTAATCCAGAAGTCAAACTGTTCCAAAAAACAACCTATTTGTTCATTTTCTGGATCTTTATTTCCTTGATGAAACACTTGCACTTGTTAAAGCACTGTATATGAAACTGATACTTTACACTAAACACTGACATGGAAGTTCTCTCTATTTGAATTTCTCAGGTATCATAATGTTTTCATAATCCAATACTTAAACCTATTTCCAATACATCACTTAAAAGTAATATTCCCTTTCAAAGGTTTATGGTTGAAGAAAAGACTGTTTAACAACACGAACTTGAATATGTAACTTTTAAGCACTTAAGTCAGTTAACAATTGCATTAAGGATGTTCCCTGGTCAGATAGGAAAATATTCAATAGTATTTAACTTTTTCTCAAAAATGGTTTTCTGGGATTCTCACGGGCAACAAAGAATATTAAAACTTTAAAAACCATATGTTAGTGTGCTTTTTTCTGAGCAAGAGGCCTCTAAAGTGTCAATATTTGACAAAAGTGGGCGTGGCACTTTCTCATTGAAACCCATGTTAAAAATCAGGTTTTCACCCCAAAACACACTTTTGAATATTTAACTTTTTCTTAAACTCACAGAAACACTTAGTTATGCTATGTACTTCACATTTTGAAAAGAAAAATTAGGGGTTGGTGTTCATCGTTTTCAACTTCGTCCAGGGAACATCCTTAAACTCTTATATTGTTACCTTTAGTATTTATTGGATTCAATATTAGTAAAACAGATTTATAAAATTTCAATCTTTTCAGTTGACACTTATCTCCATTTTAAAATATATGGTCTGTTACTTTTAAATAAGGTTGCAAGAGGTCAATGTTATCAAAATAATGTGAAATAACTAGAAAAACAGCAACTACCCAGAATGGCAAATCCCACCAGACAAAACATATTTTCTAAAAATTACTAATCATGCTAAAACAACATGACAGAAACAAGGTACTAACTTGACAAAATGTCACTGCGGCCATTTTGAAATTTGGTAGCCATCTTAAGAATGTTTTCTTGAGCGGAGCTCCCATCTCTCTAGACATCAGCATACAAAATTTGAACCAAATCCGTCAACTGGTATTTGAGTTTTCAAAGATTATGTTCTCTTATAAAGAATGGTGGGCATTTTGAAACTCAGCCGCCATCTTGAAAATTCCTTTTTGACCAGACCTCCGGTGTCTCTAGGTATCAGCACATAAAATTTGAACCAAATCTGTCCACTGGTTATCAAACCAAATCTGTCCACTGGTTATCAAAGATTACATTTTTACGAAAAATGGCAGCCATTTTAAAATTCAGTGGTCATCTTGACTATATCTTCTCCAGCAAAGGTCCTTTATCCTTTGGCATCAGTATATAAAATTTGAACCAAATCCCTAGTATTTGAATAATTAAAGATAAATATATTTTTACGAATAAAGGTGGCCATTTTGAATTGAGTGGCCATATTGAAATTTCCTTCTCGAGCAGAGGTCCTACTCCCAAAAGATATAAGACAATGACGTTTAAACTAAATGTGTCAACCGGTATTTGAGTTATCGTCCGGACAAACAAACGAGCGAAAGGACGAACGCATGGACAGACGGACAGATGGCTTCTCTATATCTTCGAACTTTGTTCGGTGGGATAATAAAGAAATATATCTAGCCTAATTCAATTTAAATTTGCTGACAATCAACTTAGTAATTACAAAGTTATGGTTAAAAACTGTTGATATGGTTAAAGGACAAGTCTCGGTTTGGAGAACAGTCTCCTGGGCTAATAATTTTTATTATGAAAAATATAGAAATATCACCCAAATTAAATTATAAAAATTCAAAAGAGGACATTTAAATCTACAAGTAAAAATATCAAAATTGTCCGAAGCAGGTGTATAGTAATGTGCAGTAGACTGATTCAATAAAAAACAAGTCTCAATTTGGAGAAAGAAGTTCATCAGTGTACTCACGGGGTACCATCGAATAATTTTGGCAACGTACCGGAGAACGACATTTTACTAAGAAATGGCAATAATTTAGCACAATATATTTTTTAACTAGAGTTCTATCTTGATTTTGACAAAAGTAAGTATTCCATGCAATAACTATTTCATTCATGAGTTTGTAGGAATTTTGTTGGAACCCAGTTCTGATCAAGTACGAAGTTATTGAAATCGGCGCAGACAGACTTTACTCCGAAAGATGGTTTTTCGATTATAACTTTTCACAACATTTAAGTATAGACTTTTGAAAAAAGTACAGAATAGTCCTTATACTTTTGAATAATTCTGTTATTTCTGATTCACATGACTCTGATTTGTTTAATTAAAAAAAAAGTTTAAAAAATATTACTTAGGAACGTAACCGGAGCTGGGAACGTAACCGGAGCAGATCAGTTGAATCATTTAATCAAAAAAATTAAAATATATGATTTAAAGCACATATACTAATTTAAAAACATACGGGATTGTTCGAATGCGTATTTATTAATATATATGCTTTAAATCATATATTTTATTTTTTTTAAATTATATAATTCAACTGATCTGCTCCGGTTACGTTCCCAGCTCCGGTTACGTTCCTAAGTAATATTTTTAAAATTTTTTTTTTGATTAAACAAATCAGAGTCGTGTGAATCAGAAATAACAGAATTATTCAATAGTATAAGGACTATTCTGTACTTTTTTCAAAAGTCTATACTTAAATGTTGTGAAAAGTTATAATCGAAAAACCATCTTTCGGAGTAAAGTCCGTCTGCGCCGATTTCAATAACTTCGTACTTGATCAGAACTGGGTTCCAACAGAATTCCTACAAACTCATGAATGAAATAGTTATTGCATGGAATACTTACTTTTGTCAAAATCAAAATAGAACTCTAGTTAAAAAATATATTGTGCTAAATTATTGCCATTTCTTAGTAAAATGTCGTTCTCCGGTACATTGCCAAAATTATTCGATGGTACCCCGTGGTACTGTGCTAATAATTGTTTTATGAAAAATATAGAAATATCACCCAAGTTAAATTATGGATATTCAAAAGAGAACATTCAAATTGACAATATGTTAAAATATCAAAATTGTCCAAAGTAGGCTTAACATGCGATAGACTGATGAACTTCGTTCTCCAAACCGAGACTAGTCTTTTTGATGTTGTCACTTGTCAGTGTGTATTATGTATTAAGTAACAAAGAGCTATGACATCACAATATGTCTGAGAGGAATATTACACCAGAATCTAAATCAGCCTATGTCTACAGTGAATACCTCCCTAGTAACACACTTCAAGGATGGCTTCAAGAATGTGTACCATGAGTGAGTCGTCAGGCTGCAAATTAAATAATTAGGCAAAATTACAACTTATACAGTATTGCAAGAGTTTACCAGTAATAATATGTTATACTTCAACATTCAAAATGTCATCCAAATATGATCTCAGAACTTTGCCTGGCATACCCATGACAATGGTTACCATGGTAACCATAACTTTGTCAAAACTTAGTTGACTGTCAGAATTTTTTTTATAGAATAAGGTCAGATATATGTTCCATGTTGTGGAAGTTTCATGAAGAAAAAAGCAAGAAAACCCAAATTATAGCAAAATTAGCGATACGTATTGAACGTGGAATGGTGCAATCCATTACATAAAAACAACATTTCATTGCGAGATTTCTAGCCACAAAATAATTTATTTCACAAAATATAATTAATTAGTGCTCATTTACTGATACTTCAAATGTAAAACCTCACTGTATAACCATAGAGTTTTATGCTAGATATTGAACATACAATATTTTGAAATAAAACTATAAAAACAGCAACTCCCCAGCATGCCAGCTCCTATCGAACAAAAAGTTTTATCAAGTAACTCATGATTTTGAACATAGCATGATATGATGCCACATTGTAAAGCCCTTCTTGAAAATATGTTCATTCTTCAAATGTCCATAAGGCACTAGAATATAAATTCTGAACCAAATCTGACAAAATGGTATTTGAGTTATTGAGGCCCACGGATACATTCTAATAAAATGTTTAAAAATCCCCTTGTGGACTCAGTTCGCAATATGTAGTGCCTTGTATTGAACTAGATTAGCACATTCATGTACTAACACATGTATAAGGCTGATAAAGAGGTCCAAATGATGGATGTAACGCCAGAAACTTTCAGTACATTTTATTTCTGCATTCCCGGGCCTCAGTATTAAACATTAATGTATTAGTGTTAATTTTGCAGGTTTGGACCAAGACTAGTCTCCTGGTTATTGTAGGATTAAGAACCATCTAATATTTTTGGTCAATCCACGAAAATAGCATTGCAACTGGTCAATAATGCCATTTTGAAATCTTAAATCATAACCCGATTGAGGTTATTCGACATGTTCCATTAATTTAGAAAAATGTGATTTCAACAAAGAAATATTATGATTTTGAACCATGTATGGTAGTATGTTTGTAATTATAAGAATTTCATAATAACATTTCCAATCATGTGGATGTACCTTAAGTAACCTATTTCTCTTCAAACAATTACAAGTCATACATTTACACTACTGGTTCTAATACAAGGCACATAATCAGAATAAGGGGAAATGCAGCCTCTATTGTTTTTTTCCATTTCCCTCAACTAATTGTACCACATCTTATATATAGGCTTGTTAGTGTTTACTTATTAGATATTAATGCCACTATATATAATATACTACTGTAGACAGTACAGTGAATTTTATATATGCATCAATGGCTGTTACATATCATATAATTTACTAAACATTAATCAGACATTAATCAACTATCAATTTGCTTGTGTCACACAATACCATCCAGGTGAATTACAATATTAAGCGTAATATGTTATTGTTAAAATTAAAACACAATAATTGAACACATATGTCATATTCACTGATCATTTGCATGTTGACTTGATTCACAAGTGAGATAATACATGTACTAATATACAGAACAAAACAAAATCATCTATAAATATGATGAAAAGGGCAACAGTATATTGATTAGATGTTTGATTAACATCACAGCCGGTGTGATAATCTAAAATAATAATTCACAGTGTACTGTATATCTCTAAATATATCCATGTTGCAAATAGCAATAAACACAATTACTATTTTCCTTTATATATGTTCAAAAGGATATTTCAAAAATATATATCAATATAAGGCACCATTCCTCACCATTAAGCATATTTCTACAAGCACTTAATTGTCTCTATCATTAGATATATTAAATTAGTAATATGTAGAGACTAATAATATAATCTATAGATCCAGCATAAAAAGGCAACCATGGTGCAAGTCATCAATATTTCTCAATATAATAGGTCTATGACAACTGATATATAATCTTACATACTGTATATGATGATGGACCTTTATTGATTGTTCAGTCTTCCACATATATGCCTCAAATCATTATGAGTCTTGATTCTGTCTTCTATATACATGAACCATGATCATTAGCAAACATATGTAACTTTGGATAGGCTTTAAAATTATATATGACACATATTATAGATACATAGAGATGAGGTTCAGGATATTGGGATTATACCAATATCCTGAACAGACTATAGGATGATCTGTTTTAATCCCATACCAATCTTGGTCATCTGGTTCACATTGTTCAATTGGCCACAGCTCAGAAAATTTCCATTCAACCGTGGAAATATTTTAGAATATTCATGTCGTGGCCGGATTTTCCAGTTCTTTCAGATATTCATCTACATTTATTTCCTCGAATCTTTGATTATTAACAGGATGCTCCTTCCCTTCTATAAACCATCAAACAGGTCGCGATTGTCTGCATTTTTCCCATTGTCGTTTACAGTTATTATTATTTAATTCTGAGATATGTCAGTATCTTCATTTAAATAATGTGGACATCTGGGCTTGTTTATTTACTTATGCTAATGTACTGATGGCTATGTGAGTTATTCATCAGGTCACATGGTCACTCCAGTCTAGCAGTCAGTCAGTCTCTTAGCAGCTTACATGTAGCATTAGGCAGTAATATGCGCTAGCTTTTTCTCCCACCCTCCCTCCACTTGGGTCTTAGTTGCATTTGAGGGTTATTTTTATTTACCGTTTTTCTTGTTTTAATTTGATAGTTAACTTAGGTTTTAGTTTAGTTTGTGTTATGTACTTTTGGTGCATAGTGGAAGGTGTTGTTTTCAGGTTTTAATTATGTAGGGTTATATAATGTTATGTTATGTTGTATAATGTAATGTAATGTAATATTATGTAATGGTATTTTTTTTTATGATGCAATACATTTCTACGACTCCAAACACCCTGGTTTATTTGTTTATATTATTTAATGCCTAAGGGGAGTCCCTTACTTTCGGGACACCCTGTACATGCCACTTGTGATGATGGCTCTCAAAAGACAATATTTAAGTCTTTTACATACATGCAAAATATGAGGATGGCTCTTGATTTAAATCTCAGTTTTCTTGATATATACCATTTGGCATGATGGTTCTTGATATATATATGATATATTCTCTTTCAATTTTCTAAATGAATGCCACATGTGATGGGGCGAGGGCATACATAAGCCACACTTATAAACCTATTTGCTTCTGGCTTTTTATGTAGAATTTTGAAATACTCACCACAATGAATTTGTGTTTTGTTTGAATTATTGAAATAGCCTTGACTATTGAAATGGTTATTTTCAAGTCTTGCCATGTGTGACTTCACAGTGTTAATGTACCTTTTAGAGAGATCTAACAATGGAGATTGAGATCTTAATCTTGAATTTTCCTCAAACAAATCAGGGCTAATAAGTAACTCTATATTGGTGCTTTGTTTATTACACATAAAACTTTTCTCAACAGAAATATCAAATGATTTTATATCTGTGTTTGGCTTGTTCCCATTTAGGCTTGTCTTGTAATCATATGTGTTTGTCTCATGATAATTTGTGTAATTCTCAGAATCATTTGTGTTTGTTCTGTAATCATTTTTTTGTGTCTCAAAATAATTTATGTTTGTCCTGTAATGACTTGTGACTGTCTGACTACAAGAGTTTGCCTTATCATCACTTTTGTTTGTCTCATCATCATATTTGTTTCTCTTAGAAGCATTTGTATTTGTCCTATTACAACTTGTGTTTGTTTCATAATCATTTGTGTTTGACTTGTATTTATTTGATTGGTTCATTTTTACTGAGATATTTGAAATATCAGCTCTATCACCAAGACACCAGTCTTTTGATTCCAATGACTCGGGAACTGTTGCCTGATGTTGTTTCAATGGGACAAAGGGGGACAGATCTTCACTGTGTACAAACACTGATTTACTATTATCAGACACAAATGGTGATGAAATATGTGGGTCTTTCATTGGGGATAGGAAAACAGTAGGGGTCCAGTTACTCATTGGAGAGAGAGATGATAGGGCTGAATCTGAAGTGTCATGATCCAAGCACCAACTATCAGGCATAGTAAGATGAAGAGTGTCAACAGGCTTTGTAAACAGAGGATATTTCTCATTTTCTCCATCATCTTCTGGGGCTGTGATTATTATATGTTCACACTCATTGGGTGTATAATGTTCTGTCTGAGACCTTTTCATTCTCTGAGTATCTTGTAGACTCCTTTCAAAGCTATAACTATCCCCAGAATTTACTTCAAGAGATTGGTATTGATGTGGCAAGGTTTTTATTCGTCTCTTAGGATACATTAAGGCTCTTGCACATGAAAGTATTTGTGAATCAGAATCATCTGTTGAACTCGAAGATAAAGAGTGTGATAAAGAATTTGACCTCTCAGGTAGTTTCCTCGTTTTAAAATCATCAGCCTTGGACAATCTGAGCCTTCTTTTCAATTTAGGTGATGTCTTCAATTCCTTAATGCAGTCTGCAAATACTTCAGGTGTGACTTTTTTATTTAATTCTTCATCAATTTTCTCTTTGTCATCTGCTGTCTCAGGATGAATATCTTGATGTGATGATAATCTCGGCTGTCTACCTGCGTTTCTGGGTCCTGTCTGGTCTTCAAAATTTAAACTAGGCTCTGATAACATCATATCATCCTTCACATTACTATACTCAGCTTTAGTATATTTAACCTTATCTATGAAACCCTTCCGACCTATATCATATACATTAATATCCGGATCTGTCAGCTCTATTTTCTTTTCATATACTCCATTTCTTATGATATCTAACTCATCATTCACATAACTGTGCTCAGCTTTAATGTCTTTCAACTTGACTTTATTCATTAATGACACCTTCTGACTAATTTTATATGCACTAACATCAGCATTCTTCATACTTGTGTTCATTTCATTCAGTTCTTTTGTTTCAGTTTCGTCATTCGTGATTTTAATAGCAGTATCACAATTGAGCAGACCTTTGGCAAGGTCATTAGCAACACAATTAAACTTTCTTTTCTTTTCTTGAATTGATTCTATTCGTTTCATAGCATTGCCCAGTTTTTCAACATTGTCAGTGAGCAAATCTTTGGCAATGTCATTTACAACATTATCACACTTTAATGGTTTGTCCTCTCTGAAAGATGTTCTATCATATTCAGTTTCAGTCTGATCTACCTTGCACAGAGTATTAATATCGTTAATACGAGAACTGTTCTCAGTATACTCATTTAGTTCTGAATTCTGGTTCAAGGACTCATATGTGTTGCCCCCCTTATTTATCAGTATGAGTTTCCTTTTGTTGTGACCATGGACTGATTCCAAAACTTTATCACCATTGTCCAGTGCATTGTCCAGTGCACTAATGCTTAGACTTTTTGCAAGCTCATTTGCTTTATTATTGAACTTCAGTTTTTTATCTTTCTTACACAATTCACCAATTAATGTTTCTACATCCACATCTCTTTTTGTTTGACTCATTTTAGTACACATATCCTCGCTTTGTTCTTTAGATCTATCTGCCTTTTGCTGCTTTTGTTCTTCATTCGACAGCTCATTTAAAGAGGGTTTGTCACACTGACTGTTGTTTTCAACTGAAAATGTTGGGACATCATGAACTGGATAAGGGTCTTCATCAATTGACCCCTCAATGGAAATAGACTGTTCTGATGAAAAGATTGAATTTTTGACAGTATTCAAAGTTTTTTCTCTTTCAACAGGATGCTCTTGTCTACCTAATTTCCTGTTTGAAGCCAAACACCTTCTATCATCACTTTCTATGTTCTGTGCACTACTGATAATACCTTCAATGTATGTTCTCACCAGTTCAATAAAAATGTCATCACTTGGATTGATGGTGTGACTAAAACTTTCTTTCTTATTTTTGGTTGAGAAGTCAGGTATACAAGCTAAATTAGCACCATCTTCAATTATTTCTGTTTCCTCATTTGAAGATAAAATACTAGCATCCAATGTATCAGACTGATCTCCTTTTAACTTGATTTGATTTTGAAAAACTATGTCATCAATGTTACAATCTAATGTGTCATTAAACATTTCTCTATCATCTTGAGGTATCCTTGCAATGGGAGTAGTGGGGCATTTATTTGGATCATTGTCTGATGAGACTGAGATTGTCTGACAGAATGTGTCTATTTCAAATTTATCCAGGTTATTTGCCACTACAACTTCACCATTCTTTGGTGCATTTGAGAGAACCTTTTCTTGTTCTGAAACTGTCTTGCTGTCCTGTAAGTCTTCAGTTATAACCAATGTATTGAAACAGGATATATTTTCCGTAGAGCCGGGTTTATTTTTCAGTGATTCTATCTCTGAATCAGGTTCACTATGATGACACTTTAAAGACTTGTCAGTGTCCTTTATACTAATAGGAACTTCACAACAAGATACTCTAATGGGACCATCTTCTTCATCTTGAGATATCTTACTCAGGTCAACGGATGTGAAAAAAGGATGGACATGATCCACAAGGATTTCATTGCCTTTCAGAGAATTACCATCATATTCATTTGTTTTAACCTCAGAACAGTTTGATGTCCAAATCCTATTCATTTTTTCAGCGAGAGACTCCTGTACCATCTCAAAAGCATCCCCTTCATCAGTTATGGAAACTATTGGTTGTCTTTGGAGGCTACCTCTTCTGGACTTGCTAACTGGTTTAAGGGAACTGTCAGAAAAATGACTTTGAGTAATTTCTGACATGTCATCTGTTTCTGAACTCATTTGTTTCCATCTAAATGCATTCATCTTAGAGGATCCAACTGAATGTGCCATAGAATCAAAACTTGCTTCTTTGAGATTATTCAAAGAAAAAGACTGGCGTGTGTTATTTTGATCTGATGGATATTGTAGCTTTGCAATATCACATACTATTTCAGTTTGTCCAGAATGTGGTAAACTTTTTGCTCTCAATAATCTATTTGTACCATCACCTATCCCCATTTCTTTCATTGAATCTGATTTAGTTCTCTTGAGCGATATTTTTGAGCTTTTTTCATCAGTGTTGATCTTTTTGTTACCTCTTCTCTGATATTCTTCATGCTCTTTGTTTGTCTCAAATATAATCTGAGCACTAAAACCACATGCTTGTGTCTGAATTCCAATGTTAATTCCTGTTGAAGTTTTGTTACCATTTCCTGTGTTCTCAACAGACCCTCCTGAATTCAGCACCATCGGATCACATTGTGTTCCCTTATCTGAGACAATGCATAAATCATTTTTGAATACGGAGGCAAGCTGTAGCATATTTGATTGCACTTCTAATGCACTCCATGTTAAAATTGGAGATAGTAGCCCATCATCCTCCTGAATACTTTTGGATATTTTTGAATTTTTCTCATGTATTTTCTTTGAGCTATCTGATTTTAGTTTTCTCCTTGTAAGCAATGGCAATATGAGAGTATCATCAGTAGACAGCTGTTGGGGAGATGGTGATTGATCAATTCTATCTATGGTGTTGTCAAGTTCCTCCAGCTCAATCACAGTGATTGGAGACTGAGGCTGTGGAGACAGGGTAGGGGATATAGAGAGATTTGTATCAACATGGAGCAAGTGGTGTTTATTTTTGTCTAGAGAGTCATGTGGACAGCATTCTGTGTCATTGAGCACTATACTCACCATTGCTGGGACTATAGGACTATGTTGAGGTTCTTTCAAATCATTGATGACCTTTTTAGAATTAAAAATATCTGCAACTTCCATACTCTCTCCTGACAATGAGGAATTATGTTTGGTGTCATTTTTGAGTGTATCATCTTGTTTATCCAGTTCTTCAGTGGGTGTAGGCTGGTATGAGCTTTGCAGTAATGAACTATTCTTTAATGTTCCTAATAAAGGATAGGGAGTCTGAAATACACTATCTGATGCTTTCCCATCAGTCCCGTCCCAATCAATGTCAGAGTCTGATGTTGAGCTGTTTGTAATTGATTTCTTGTGACTGTGTGCAGCATCACTATCTGCTGATGACACAGATAACTCCTCTGCCATGAAACTCAGTTTTTTCCTGCCATTATTTGACTCTTCTTCCTCAGAGACAGATTCTAAGTAAAGAGGAAGAGACTTCTGTCTGTGACCAGCATAGTGTCTCCGTTTTTTCTCTCCTGTTGACACCTGGGTAAGATTTATTTGATGAGCTGATAAAACATCTTTTAATTCATCTATACTATCACGACGTTTGAAGTCCCATTGTTTTGGACTGAGCTGTTTGGTTGATAATTGACCTCTGGATTGCAATGACGCCAAAGTAGCAGATCGATGAAATTGTGAGCGTTTTGTTGATAGCAATCTACGACTTCTAATATCCATTTTATACTGAACATCTGATGAGTGCTTCCTCTGTAGCAGTGAAGTTTTTTTAGGTAATGGCACTCTCAGGCTTGATTCTGATTCAATCCCCTCCAGCATTGATGCTATCTCATTTTGTTGAAGTTGTGCTATTTTTTGATTTCTTTCAACATTGATTTTATCAAACCAATCCCTTAAAAATCTTTCTGGAAGAAAATTCTGCATATTACAAAAACCTAGATTTGCAAGAACATCTTCTGCAGTATAGTTGGCTGCTGTAGCCGAATGATGCATATGGTTACTGGATTTATGATAATCAAAATTCATATTAGATTGACCTAATGGGGAATTGCCACTAGAAAATGAGCTATTGCTACTCTCAACTGATTGAGCAATAGAGTTGCAAGAACTGGTTGTCCCCTTCTTCTGCTTGGCAGAAGAGTTCAATTTTCTCAACCGAACATGATACTCGTATTCAGTTTCAAAGGGTAGCTTACAAAGCTCACTTTCAGTACTTAAACTTGAAATAGAGGTGGATGAACAATGCTTTGAATCAGGGGAAACAATATCCTTGGACCCCATTTTCCCATTTGAAACTGTCAAAAAACTCTGCTCAGAACTTTCTGATGAATAGCTTGTATCAATTGACCTCCTTGAATGGGACTTGATACTTTTATGTCTCAATTTATTAAAAGTGTGCTTGGCAAATGGTATTTCATCATCAGGTGCTGTATCTGGTTGGATAAGCTGTCTGCGTTCTTTGTCTATTATACCACTTGGACTCTTGGTCCCTTGATCTTCCTCAAAGTTTGGTTTCTCACTATTCTGAAGCCATTTAGTTACATCCTCAATATTATGTGCAGGATCCATAGAGAAAAAATTAGCTATGTCATTGCCAAAATCAAGACTTTCAACTTCTTCGAATGTTGCTTTACTCACTTTGGGAATTAATTGGTTGATTTGTGTTCTTGAGGGTGGCCTTGATGAAAATGGTGACCAATCTGAGCTTAGTGTAGATATGCGACTATCTGAGCGAGATAAAAATGACTTAGAGGAACTTTCTGGAATGGAGCTTGAGTCATTCAATGATGTATTAACACTACTGTCATTTGATAGCTGTCGTGATGGTCTAACATTCTCAACAGTATTTGTATAGCTCAGTCTTTGCAGCTTTTCCACTGTTGGGAGAACACCTGAACGTTCTTTATATTTCACAAATGCTGTTGTCGGCACTCTGTTATCATTTAATCCCTCAAATACGGCATCTTGACTGTACCTTAATGAACCTCCAAAACTACCAGAGCTTGAGGATCCTAGATCAAGGCTTTCAACTTCTTCAAAGGTAGAATGTGAGTCCGTCGAGCCACTGGAATGATTGCTTGATATCTTATACTCCACTGGTGGGGGGTGGTCATTATGGTGACTGAAATCATAAAAGCAAAAAATAATTATAGCATTTCATGAACTACAGGGTGTTTCATAATGACAGTCCCCCGTCAACCACCAATCTTAAATAGCATACCCCCATATGTTATATATCATATGAAAGCTTGTTCAATTCTGGAATTATTGAAACATTTTGACTAAGCACAACAGTTTTTACAACTTGCAACATATCTCTGCAAAAGGTACCCATTTTATCTTTAGGATAGAATCTGAAAGCCACATTTTTTCCAAAATAATCCATGTGCCCTGCAAACAGTTATGACTATCACGCCTCAATACACTATTAGCTATAGTAATGTACAACTTCTATCATTTGGTGAATGCTGAGGATATATTTATTATATTTACAGTTTGCATAGTTGTTTATTCATCAATTATATCAATGTTCAGTGTACAGGCAACTGACACCCATGCGGGTGTATATAGTTACATATGATTATATTACATAATTGTATTAATCAAGATGACAAGATATAAAACTGTTTTTAAAGATAGAAAGTTAGGAGAAAAGTAATAGATTTGAAAGACAAAAGTATTGAATATTTCAGAGAAATGCCCAGAGAGCACTAGATGATACAATTGATTATAAAGCGATCCGCTCCTCTCTTTAAATCCACCAGGAATATATATTGTAAAACTTATGCATATTGCACCCCTATATGTAACCAGGCTATTTCATATTTTGAATTTCATATTGATCAATCCCCATTTGTTTCCTTGTTCATTTTAACAAGTCACTTTTGTATATATGCTCTATTGTTTAAACCAGTTTTGTATGTATTTTATGCTGTGTTTGTTTTTACTTTTCATTCATGTCTTCATGTTATATATATAGATCACATTCACTCACTCATGAGTTTTGGTGTTGGCTGTTTTTGTATGCAGTAGTTGAGAATGCTAGGACAGCTAAGAACTATGATATTTTAAATAGATATTTTAATATTTAATATCTTGGACTTTGTTATTATTTATATTTGCCACCCACGGGCCTTCCATCGCCCATTTACATATATAACACAGTGTTCACTGTAGGTAGGTGTTCACTACAGAAAAATATTTTATACAGAAGACACATGTGTTCACTAAAACATTTTTACTGAACTGCAGTCAGGGGTTTATGTGCTGAGAATTGGTGTTTGCTAGACACAGGTGTTCACCAAACAGAGGTATTCACTTGGTTTGATTTAGCCAAAATCTTTTACTTGTAACAAAACTTGCTATAGAGAGTTAATTACAGCAGTGTAGCTGTTCATAAATGTAAACCACCAGCATGCAGGAGTGCAGAAATTGCTCTAATTTAAAGCAGTTTTTTTTCATTTAAGATTGCAGGAAGAAAAATAATATACAGGGTGGGCCAAAAAAAACAATACCCAACTTCAAATGAGGATAAAAATAGTTGCATTCTATATGGTACATTGATTTACATATCATTTTAAAGGTTATACATTTTCAAACAATTTGGTATATAACACTAGGTCATGAAATCAATAGTAAAGTTTTATTATACTTATTTGGGAGGCCGTGTTGCTATTTGGGGTCTCTAGATTTTAGGGAGAAAATAGTAAATCTAAGGAATTATGTTAATTTTTTATTTATAGAATATCATTCTTTTGTTCGGTGAATACTTGCTTGGATATTGATATTTGCATCATCATGTGACTAAATTTATTGTTTATGAATTTCAGTGTTGTTTAATAACATTTTACACTTTATTTATTTAAACAATTTTAACAATTGTTCAATATACCCCACCCCCTCCCCTCTGCATCAACAATAAGCTTCAAGTGCTAGCGCAATCTATCAATAGCCTTATTGAGAGATTTCTGTTGCAATTCCTTTCAGCACTTTAGGATTTTGTTTCAATTCATCAATGCTGTTTATTGGATGCTTTTGATTGTACCATTTCTTAGAGATGGCTCCATGTATGGTAATCAAACACATTAGCATCGTGGCTGTTGGGTGGCCAAGCATCGAGATTAATCAAATTGACACCTTGTTTGCAAAGAAATGCCAATGTCTCCTTTGATCTATGGTACGAGGCAATGTCTTGTTGGAAAATAAAATCCTCGTCACATATACATTTAATTTCTTTGAACAGAGCCCCTTTGAGTACTTATTGATAACAAACAACACTAAGATTCATAAACAATAAGTTTAGTCACACAATATGCAAATATACAAGCATGTATTCCATACCTACTAAGGTTCTAGGTAAATAACGAGCGGGAATATATGCTGTATCTAGGGATCTATCACCGAGGAGCGGGGCGGGATGGATACAGCATGTATCCATCCCGGTCCCGCTCCTGAAAAAATTCTAAAATTTTGTTTACAATTTTTTTTTAAAAATAATTTTTTTTCAACATTTTTTCAATTTTTTTTTTCAATTTTTTCACATTTTTTTCATTAAAAAAAAAAAATTTTGGGGAAATCTCGCAATTTAAGAACAAGAAAACGTGTACCGTATGTTTTGGGATTTTGGAACTTTACGAGGTATGATGTACCTAAAACCTCAGTAGGTATGAAATACATCTGTTATGTACGGTCGGTTTTGAATACAGGATTTATCCCGCGGGAAATATGTGTATGTCCCTCGGTCCCTGCGGTCCCTCGGGAGATACACATATTTCCCTTGGGATAAACCCTGTATCCAAAACCTCCCAGTACATAACCCTTATGTATTCACCTAACAAAATGATATTCTATGAATAAAAAATTAACATTATTCCGCAGATTTACTATTTTCTCCCTAAAATCTGGATACCTTAAAAACCGACCCGGCCTCCCAAATAAGCATAACAAAACTTTAATATTGATTTCATGACATAGTGTTATATACCAAATTGTTCGAAAATAGATTACCTTTAAAATGATATATAAATCAATGTATCATATTGAACATAGCTATTTTTATTCTGATTTAAAGTTGGGTATTGTTTTTTTTGGCCCACCCTGTACATTACTCTCTTTATATATTTTGAAATATGTGAAGCAGGTATATGGGACAATTCAATTTTTTTTTCAATCTTAGAATTTGAATGCAAGGGGATTAATGCGTAAAATGTGGCTAATGCGAGCCCTGCTATCAGCAGGTTTTAAAATGTGCCACAAAATCTTGTTGACCTGTATTCATTAGTTTTGATGAATGGAAAGGTCAATATTCAATCAAGAAATGTACTAGAGCCAACATAAATGGTTTCAGCAAGGGTGCATTGACTTAATTAACATGCACCATTGACAAATGACTTAGTATTGGGATACCATCGTTTATTCCATGATGGTGAAATTCCCTGCAATCTGATTGGTGCACGTGACTTAAATATATCCTGTATTTACACGCACATTCCACTAAGCGTTGGATACAGAGTGAAAAAGAAGTCAGCGTTGGGATACGGTCTAGTATCCCAACCCCCAAATTTCCATCCAGGATATGACTATTATTGAAAAAAATCAATGGTGATCAGTTTACACCAACGTATGCTAATATTTGCATTTTGCTAGAAATATCTGATTTGAATATCAGGAAATGATACGGTGATCATCACAATTTATAATTTTAGGATAAAAACACACATCTGTGAATATAAAAAGATCAATATGAAGCATGTACATTGTTTTCATGAACTAGTAAAAAATTTCAAAATCCAATTTGGCAGACGAAAGTCGAAAAAATGTTTCGCTACACTGCACTTCCAGCTGATGAAATTGAAGAAAAAAGAAAGAAAATCAAATGTCTCGTATAATACAATAAAAAGCAAACAACAAGGCCATAAAGATTTTGAAGGAATATCGATGTAAAATATCTCTGAGGTGAGAAGGTTGATCTGTTTCTCCGGCCCCAAGCCAAGGGACTTGATTAAGGCAAGTTTTATATGGGTAATCATGGAATAAAAACGTTATTCAATGATTTCTCGTGAAATACAGAAAATATTCTTCCCTTGAACGTCTGTATTTCACTCTGCTAGCGCATTGTGAAATACAACCTTCTCGGGAAGAATATTTTCTGTATTTCACTTGAATCATTGAATAACTTCTAGTATTTCATCATGGGGAAGATACAAACTCCTCATTATCTCAGAACTAAAGTTTATCGAGTCTCATCAAGTATATTCATGTGGCAGAGTATTTGTAGTATCCATTTTCAAAAGTAAGAATAGAGGTTCTTAAACAGGACGTCAAATTTTGGATTTGCTTACAGGCCTGAATGCTAAATGGGTTGACTTTTTTGTTTATCCAAATATATTATTAAAGGCCCCGTGTAAAGTTTAAACCACTTTGGCTTATATTGTAGTCTTACCCAATGTTATCAAAGTGTGATATGTGAAACTTTTTTTTTTAATTTCAAAAAGTGGTTTTTGATAGACTTTTTGTTCCAAAATTTGTGAATTTATTTAAAACCAACTTTTAGAGGTCACTCATATCTTCTAATTAGCCACAATTCATACCAATGCATAGCATTCATCCTCCCATGTTTTTTGCCGAAAAAATTAAGAAAATCGGTTGATAAACAAGCGAGAAATGAACTTATCAGTGCATGAAAATGGTTCTGAGAAAAATGCATTTCAAAATTTTAGTTCTCATAGAAACCAATGGTACAATGATATCTAAAACATAATTTATTCTTCCTTTTAACCTGGTTAGACAATCAACATTGTTTTTTTATGAAAATCTAGCATATTTAGAAAAGATTGACATCGAAAAAAAGAATTCAATTTTTTTCAAAAAGTTTTTGAAGGACTCATTGAAAGTGAAATCTAAAATCTAAAGTCAGATTTAAATGATTTTGAAAATAAATTGGTCAATTTGAAGCAAGTTGAAAAAATACCTTTTTTACCTCGAGAAGGTCAAATATTTTTTTGACCTTGAGATCAATGAAGGTTAATGAAGGTCAAATCTCAAATCTAAAGTCAGATTTGAAATAATTCGGTCAATTTGAAGCAAGTTGAAAAAATACCTTTTTGACCTTTTTTGA